GCCCTCCAGCAGCGGTGACAAGAGGCTGATTTTGTCATACACAAACTTTTTTTGGCAGTGGGGCGGGAGGCCAACCTTTCAATTGGCAGCGTGCCCTTGGGGCCGCATCTTGCAGCACCTTCCTCTCTTTCTCTACATGGTATGCAGGACCTCTGGGATTCTGCCTCAACGTCGGAGCCTTCTGCTGAGGGATACCAGTATTATAAATCTCTCTGCAGCTGGGAGGAGCTTCCCAGTTGAGAGTCAGCCCTGTGGTTTTTCAAATGCCCCCTTTCAGCTCTGCCAATAAATTATTTGGTCTCTTTGTTTCTTTCAGCTTCTCTCTTTCTTGGCTGTCTAAAAACCAGTGGGCTGGTATTTCTCTAGGCTGGGGCAAGCGAAAGCTGCGACTGACAGAGGAGCTGCAAGTGACCCCTTGTCTCCGGTCCTCCAGGGGTGGTTGCTTTGAAAGCCAGCACAGCTGCAGTTTGGGTACCATGAAAGACAACAGGACACTCGGAGGGCTGTGAGGATGAGTGGGGGACTGGAACACCTGCCTTATGAGGAGAGGCTGAGACCTAGGGCTTTTTAGTCTGCAGAAGAGAATATTTTGGGGGGATCTAATTAACGTGTATAAATATATGGGGGTTGGGTGTCAAAAAGAAAGGGGCAACCTGTTTTCATTTGTACCCCGGAATAGGACGAGGGTTAATGGATACAAGCTGGAGCACAGGAAGTCCCACCTCAACACGAGGAAGAACTTCTTTACTGTAAGGGTCACAGAGCACTGGAACAGGCTTCCCAGGGAGGCTGTGGAGTCTCCTGCCTTGGAGACTTTTAAGACCTGTCTGGATGCGTGTGACCTGCCCTAGATTAGATGGTCCTGCTCTGGCAGGGTGGTTGGACTCTGTGATCTCCAGAGGTCCCTCCCAACCCCTAACATTCTGTGATTCTGTAATTATTTCCTCTAATTCTGCTTGACTACAACACTAATTGTACTCATTAACGGCTCCAGCCTTTTCCCTTTTTCCTTGGAGAATTGCACAATGGGCTTTCGTTTTTAACGGGGCCTTTGCATCGGGCCCAGGAGGGGAGGCTGTGGCCAGAGGTGGGACACATCTCCTGCCCTGCATGTTCTGCAGAGTCCCCTGGGAGAAGAGGCTGCTTGGGCCAATTTAGTTGTGACCGCAGAACTAACAGCCCATGTCTGGGACAATTACTGGCCTTGGGGACTGGGAGACCTTCAGCCTCATGACTCCAATTGCAGATTCCTCATGCTATTGAAGTCTAGACTGAAAGCAGCTGGGACTGGCAGAGGAAACAAGTTAAAATATTGAGCCTTCTGAAGGGTTTGTTTTCCACATTGAGGGTGTCAGTCCTAGGCTGCCTCCAGAAATGTTCAGCATGCTGACAGCAATGACTAACAGCTCCCTGTGGTCAGGCAGTTTGTGCCTGCTGGCACTTGCCTGGGCATGGAGTGGGGCAGTTCCCCAGGCTGGGGTGGCACCCATCACATGTCATTCGTGGCTCTGTGTTTTTCAAGACCCCAAGGTCCTGTTCCTGCTCTTGCCACTTGTTTGTCACCAGCTCTTGACCAAATTCTCTTTCCCAGGCTTTTTTCCAGGTTTGTTTTCTCTGCTGTGTTCAGGTACTACTATAGCTGCTGCTTAAAATTCCTTTTAAATACAACTCTCCCCTGCTGCTCTCTGGTATTTGTTAGGGGGGATTTAGTTGTAATTACATTTTGGCAATCTAAGCAAAAATAGCCTTGCGAGGCAAGGCTGAAATACTAGCTGCAGGCTCCTCTTATTCACAGCGCATTTAGCTTCTTGCAGATGACATCACTTAAGGCTTTAAGTCCTGTTGTTGTGCCCAGCTGCTCGTTGTGTCCACCTCTGCTATTTCACGTACTCGCCCACTTTTCTGATGCCCTGCGTCTAAGCTGGTGCTGATGAGTGCAGGCTTGCTATTAAGTCTGAAAATGCTGCAGTCCTGCTGCGTTCGCCCTGAAATACGCCATGCGAGTGAGCTGTGGAGGAGCCTTTCCCGGGAGGCTGTTCCTCTCCTCACGCTGCCGCGGTGGTTGAGATCTGGAGGAACTCGGCGCTCGTTCCTCCCCCTCAGCTTTGAAGTGAGCGAGCTGGCTGGGGTGTGGAATTTGTCCTCCTTAAGGCTATGTTTCCTGAAGTCAGAAGCAAAGCAGTGTCCGGCCAGTGCCAAGCACCAGGTTTAGTAACTCGTAGGGCTTGGGGAGGGCTGGAGCCAGACTGGTTTTTGAGCAGGGCTTTTGGGTTGTGGTCTACTGTATCTTGCTAATAGGAGTGGTGAAAAGATAGCCATGAGGTTATTTGGGAGGGGAAGGAGCCTCTGCCATGCCCTAGAAAAAAGTTTCAGATCCTCTTCATCCAGGAAGCAAGCCTGGAGCTGTGGGAGCCACAAATCTGTGGTGAGTCATGACCTGCCCTGCTCTCTCCTCATGCTGAAAGCTTTGTCCACCCTTTAGGTTCCTTGGATCTCTACATGGTGGCATTTGGGGAACTCGGCAGGTCTTTGAGCCCTGGAGTCCAGCCTCAGAGCTCTTCTTTCCGAAGGGGATGCTGCGCCATGGTGAGCTCGTGGGCCTTGGCTGTTTGGCTACAGCTGGTCAAGTTGGGGATGATGGCTGAGCTGGGCTTGGCTGAGGGGCTCAGGGAGTGTGTGGGGGCATTCCTCAGTGTCTGTGAGCTGGAGCTCAGGAGGAAATATGCTTCCCAGCCCACAGAGAGAAAGGAGTCTCCAGCTCTGGAGAGGAGCAGTTAGGGGATGCTTGGAAGATGGTGTTATCCCATCTTAATGCTTCTTCACGAGGTGTCTGCTCATGGGGCTGATGCTGGGCCAGGGGGGCTTTTCCTCTCTGCACTCCCCCCAGCACCCACCTAGCTCTGGATAGCGTGACCTGCAAGGTGTTCCCCACCACATCCTGCAAGACACATCCGCTGTCCAAGACCTGTGGCATCCTGGCTACTGCTCTTGGTTTTGTCCTGATCTCTGGTGTGGTGATAAAGCCCAGGGACCTCCGGAGGGCAGGTAAAACCACTGCCTGGGGATGGTGGAGAATGTGGCCTCAGCTGCATGCTCCTGGCAGGCTGGAAGAGCTTGTCCCTTTCTGGTTTTGCTGTATGGACATGCTGGGGACTGAGCTCACCTGGAAGATGCAGCAGCTCTGCAGAGCAAGGAGAAGTGGGTGACAGTACCTCACCCTGTTCAGAGCTCCTTTGCCCTGGAGGCTGGTAGCAGGACAACAGGAATCAATGGGGAACGGCCATGCAGAGACAGACCACTGCTCATTAATTCTGCACCTTCCTGGAGAGTGAGAGCCCAGTGACTGGGGACATGCCTGGTGCTACATCTGGTCAGCCTGCGGCAGCTCCAGGCTCTTGAAAGTCTGGAGACACTTGGCCAAGGCAGCCTATCCCTTCAGCCACTGGGGACATCACCTTGAGCTGGCTATGAGAGGACAGGATTGCTGTGCAGCGCTGTCACTCACCAGCAAGAAGGCTGTGGCCAGGAGCAGCACCCCAGGACCTGGTCCCCTCACCGAGATTGTGGCCAAAAGGCTGCTGCCATGGGAGGTGAGCCAGGCAGGGGGACAGCAGGCAGGACTCGTCCAGGTCCCTGGGTGCTTGGTGCCCCCTGTACTCCCCAGCCTGCGCTGGTGGGCACCATCCCTTCCTGCTTCAAGGTGCTAGCCTGGAGCACCAGCTCCACCTGGTCTGGGTGCTGTGGGCATCATGCATCTCCCAGGATGGGGCAGGAAAAGCCACCTTGCAGAAAGCATGGGGAGGTTGGACCAGCCGGAGGGTGGCCACAACCGGCTTGTGGGTATTCAAGGGATACTGTCTCATCTGCTGGGTGTTTACTTCCCTCCTCCATCCGTGCCTGTGGTGCCCTCACCTCTGGCAGGCAGTGCCAGCAGCCGGCTGTGGGCAGTAACCAGCTGGTTTTCTCCTGGCAGCAGCAAAGGGACCAGCACGGATGGTGAAGCTGGTGGAGACCCAGCAGGTCCTGGAGCCAGGCGCAGGTGGCGTGAGCTGGACCACGGAGGAGCAGACGCTGCCTGAGGCCGTTCCCAGGCTGACCTCCCGCATCTCCCCCGCCAGCAGGGAAAAAGCTGCAAGGGCCCCAGAGGTCAGCGAGGGGCACGGTGTCGCTGGGGTGGGGGGAGGGGCCGTGCTTGGCGGAGATGATCCCGTGGGGCAAGGAGGGCCCCGGGGCGGGAAGAGTCATGTAATGATGCTGGTAGCAGGGGGGTGTCAAGGGACACTCATCTTTAAAGGGGTTTGGGTACCTGGTGGCTCAGGATCTTCCCACCCCAAGCTGCTTGCTAGGGAGCAGGGACAGCAATTCAGCTGCCCCCAAGAGCCACGGCTGGGGCATAAATAGAGGGAGAAATTACCTGCCCCTAATCCCATCTGTGGCTCCATTGTTGCCCCAGTATGAAGGGCTGTATCTGTGATTCCTGGCCCATGGCCACCACTGCCATGGCAAGTGATGCCTGGGCCCTGTTTGCCCTGGGCTTGAAGCTGTGAATTTGCAGTGGGCTAACGTGGCTCGTGCTGCCAGTGCTGGCACACAGCCCATCAGGTGCCTGACTCTGCTCTGGTTCCCCCTCGCCTCGTCTCCCAGCACCCTTGTGTGCTGCTGGGACAGGACTGTGTGGTTTAGAGGGCTGTGGCCAGCCTACCCGGGTGTCACATCCAGCCCGTCCCAGGGGGGTAACCCCACCAGTGGGCACGTAGCAATGGTGCCATAGAGGCTCATGAGACCTCCGCGGGCTTTACTTCCACATTGAGCACAGCACGGCCACCCTATGTTCCCCCCCTCCCGACCACCACCACCGCTGGAGGTGGCAGAGCCCTGCCACCTCCAGTCCTCCTCCAGTGCTGTGCTTGGCACCGGGTGCTGCTGTGCCCACAGTGATCTGGGCCGAGCAGGCTGGTTTGGGGGTGGCCATCCCCCGGCTGTGGCAGTGCCTGCGGGTATCACTGTGGCACGTACGGCTTGGGGTCCCCGGGGAAGGGCAGGGCGGGCGCCTGGTTGAAGTGAGCCATGAGGAAGATGCCAACGGTGCCACACACGAAGACGGAGGCCATGATGAAGAAGCAGACGCGGTCGATCACCTGTCCCACTAGGATCCACTCTTCGCTCTCCTGCAGCAGCACAAAGCGGGGTGTGAGGGCTGCGCCCCCTGCCGCTGTGCAGGTCCCCCTCCCTCTCGGCCCCGACTCACGCTGCTGAAGTCGTTCTGCTCCCGTGTGGCGTTGGCGATGTAGTTGCAGGCGTCCACGCAGGCGCGGATCTCGGGGCCTGCCTCCGCCAGGCTCTGGCAGAAGTCCTGGGTGCCACCACTCTCCAGGTGCAGAGCCGGCATGGCGAGCCCCGGTGAGCACCCATCCACCTGGCACATCGCCCAGCCTCGTGAGGGGGGATGCCAGCCCCTCAGGGACACTCACCAATCTTGTCCAGCACGGTTTTCATCAACCCATCCCTCTCCTTCTGCCTCTCGAAGAGCAGCTCGGTCCGGGCTTTCCAGAGCATGTACTCATCAGCTTTCACCATGAGACCCAGTGAGCTGCGTCTCCGGGCGCCTTGCGGTGGCCCTGGCATCTCCTCTGGCATGTGCATGCCCAGGTAACGGGGCAGGAGGTGCAAGCACACCTGGGCACAGCATTACTCATGGGAAACTGGTCCCCCACACACTGCCCCAAGCACCCAATGGGCACTATCGGGTGCCCTGGCATTGGCTGAAGCATCCCAGTGGGGTACCCCTGTGCCACTGGATGCTGAGCGTGTTGGCACCTGCTGCTCCCCAGTGTTCGGAGCGGCTCAGAGGGGTTTGGTGGCACAGTGTGGTCCCTTAGGGACATCTAGGGGGTCCCTCTTTGTGCCGCGACTTACACTCAGAGGCACGTCTGCCACCCCGCTCTGCGAGGGACACGGCCTCGGTCCCCAGACACCCACCCCATTACCCACGGCTAAGGGGTAGGGGGACGACAGCGGGTACCTGGCGCACTCTCTGGGACATGGAGTGAGTGTTGGGCGTTCTCAGGGAGACGTTGAGGACAATGACAGCGTTCACCACGATCACCACTGTCACCACCATGAGGAAGGTCAGGTACCTGGGGAGGGGGCATAGGGCCTCATGTGGGGCTGCTGGGTCACAATCTATGGGCACGTAAGATCCTTCTCAATGCCCTCCTGGGCTGAAAACTGGAGATGGGCAGTGGGAGATGGGCATGTGGCGGCCCTGTGCCACCCTGCCTGGGCTGGGGGTTATTTCTATGCCAGGGTCCTGTCTCTGGGCACAGCACCCAGAGACCCCCATGGCACAGTGTGGCAGCAGGGCTGTCACCCTCGTCCCCCTGCATCACTTACTTCCCGATGAGAGGCACAGCCTGGGAGGTCTCAGGCACCTTCTGGGCAATCAAGAAGAGGAAGACGGTCTGGGCCAGGAGAACGTTGATGGACACAGTGCATTTCTGCCCACCAGCTGCCAAGGAGGGGAGAAGGCAGAGGTTAGCATGGAGAAGTGGGGTGGGCATTGACCTCCTTTGGCAAAAAGCCCCCACCCCTCAGCTGAACTGCCCAAGTCCTGCTTTGAGGCTTTTAACTGTGTGGTAACTGGAAATTCAAGCCCCCCAAATATCCCAGGAGCAGGTGAGAGGTGGCGCTGAAGGTCCCCCAGCACAGAGGGGACAATGAGCCCCTCCTCACCCGTTTCTGCCCCGCTGCCCATCCCTGGGGGCACGGCAGCAGCATGTACCTTTGGCGGGCAGGAAGTAGACCAGCACGGCCATGGCAGAGATGAGGACGCAGGGCACGATGATGTTGATGATGTAGAAGAGCGGCTTGCGCTGGATGATGAGGTAGAAGATGACCTGCTGGTACTGGATGTCATCTGGTGTGAACTGCTCCGAATTGATGATCTTCCGCGCGGGGCGGTGCTTGATGGCCCATTCGCCGTTCTCTGCCGCACAGAGGTGCCACATGAGTCCACCACCCCCGCGGGGGCGCCGCGGCTGCCGTTTTGGTGGGGGGCTGGTGATTGGTGTGGACCCTACGGGGGCACCCTGCCTGGGCATGGTATGGGGAAAGATGCCAGAGCTGCTGGGGAAGGAGGTGAGCACCATGCACCATGCCAGAGTGCCCAGGCGAGATACCCCAAAAAGCTGCTGGAGGGGGAAGCTGGGCACGTATGGGGCATCCTGAGCCCCTGGGAGGCTCCCGGGTATTACGTATGGTGCTGGGGTCCTCCGTCTCCCTGCCCCAGGGTGCCATGGGGAAGCTGAGCGCCCCGCTGGGTGACAGCAAGCTGCTTCCCCCCGCTGTCTACGGGAGCAATAGATTTTTTCCCAGTTAAGATCGCAGCTCGGGCTGGTAATGAAAAAATAAATCTCGCTGCCTGAAAAGCATTTTGTTCCTTCAATATGCAATTAAAATGTGATGGAAAACGTCATCGTTTGGCCGTGACAGCTACGTTCCCAGCATCAATCAAGCTCCCAGGAGCGGTGCTCTTCGTGAGCGGCTGCCAGGCAGTGAGAGCCCCGAGCAGGGAGGGTTAGAAAAACAAATCTCTCCCACACTCCCGCTTCCACTAATAACTTAAGTGCCCGTGTA